CTGTGGCTTCCTGATCTGTCTATAAGTTTTGCATAAGGACAATTGGATATGGGGTCCATGGTTTTCCCTGAGCTTGGTGGTTTTTTTGCAGATTCATTACCAAACTAAGTTACATCATTGGTGCTAGAAGGGAGTGGGATTTGCTCTTATTTTTATATATTAGTGGCTTGGTTTTTCAGTGTGGATGGGAGAGTTCTGGGTGATTCCTTGATTAGGCTGTTGTCTTGTGTTAATCTTGCTAACCACTCAAAACAGACAATCAAAAATTTCAAAAGGAAATAAAGACCAAAACACTTCCTCACTAGCAATGAACATCCATATGAGCAGCCTTGACTGACCAGTTCAGGCAAGGTCTGCAAACTGACATCCAGACTGAGCTGATTAGGGAAGGAATTTCACGAAATCTGGAACAATTGTACTAACTTTGTGTATAGACTCCCATGTGGAGAAACTGTAGGATAATCAAATGAGCCTAGGTCTTGTTTCTCCTCCCTCATGCCTCCTCCCTCATGCCATGTTGATTCAGGAGAGGGAGAGCCCATGCACCTGGGGACAGCAAGAAGTGCAGCAATTGCTGAGGGAAATAAAGTGTGGTTGTTGACCAAAAGTTTGGCTTTTATCAGACCATTGAAGAAACTTGATCAAAGTTTGTGGGTTCATTTAAAATCCTACAGTATGTAAATACTGTGGCCTTTTGTTTGTTGTTGCCACCATCTATGAAGGTCCACCCAGTTTTCTATCATTCATTGCTAGTCAAAGAGATGCCACCAAGCCTTTCATAATCACAACTGCCATTTACACACACATGTCCAAACACACTGATTGTTCAAGACAAGAAAGAATTCAAGGTCAATGAAATATTGAGCTCAAGGAGACAGGGTGAAGGCATACACTGGAAATGCTATCCAGAAGCAGAACTTTCATGGGAAAATGCTAAGTATGTGCAATATATTGTGCATGCTATTGAATTAGTGTAGCAGTTTTACCAACCAGTCCCAGACAAGCCAATGCCCTCTAAAAGTCCAGTCACCAATTTCATCCCACAGCCTAAGGGGGATTCAGTAAATGAAGGAGTTAATCAGGCAGAGGAGGCACCTCTAGAGGGAAGCGTTGGAGCAGATGTGGCTTGATTTTCATCTTTTGGACTTCAGTTCCTGAGGGAAAGCAGGGAGGAATTCTCTAACATCTGGATGTTTTGCAGGATGCACCGCCTGGATGGAAATAGTCTTTAGACTTGGGGGAGAGGACTCCTTTGAGTCGGCATTGCTCCCACCCACCCCAAGTTCCTGTGAGATCCCAAGCAATAAACACAACATGGTAGAGGGAGGGATCTGATGTGGGAAGTGTGATGTTGGGTCATTCCCTTCCAGGCAATGAAGAGGGATTAAGCCGGGAGGTAGTGTTAAGTTCTTGCACAGCCACAAGAGACTTATACCTGGCCTCCTCTAAGTTGCATGGGATCTTATCTAGGAAGATTCTTGCTCTATAGATAGAATACAATAAAGTAGTTATCTTGAACCCTTCACATGTGAATCTGATTGTTTTCATCTACAGTATTCAGCCTGGTTATGTCCACATATGTCATTTTGATTGTTGGAAAGCTGCTTTAGCGATGAAGAAATCACTAGATTGTAGCAATTAATAAATCATTGTCCTGCTTTCTAAACCATTCAGTCCAACTAAATGTTCCTCCTTAGCATGTCCAACTTTGGCATTCTCATCTCAAGCCATAAGCTACAGGTCTTGCTTGCATGTTGATTTAAGTTTGAATTTAAGTTGATTTAAGTTTGAATTTAAACCAACATTTATATATAACATTTGTCAACCTTCTCTTTTGCACCAGTGGTTGGAACATAAAGTTGAATAATCATCATATTAAAGAGTTGTCTGCAGAGTCTAATTGCATTCTGCCAAGTGCTGTATAGTACCCTAGTTGTTATACCCTTCCTGACTATGAAAGTAATACCATTCCTTTGTTTTTGGATCCTGAGTAATATGCAATATAATCTTCTGATTGAAAGTATCCAATTCCAATCTATTTCAATTTACCAACTCCTAAGATGTTAATTTTAGTCACTTCATTCCATCTTTCATTATATTGAACTTCCTTATGTTCATGCTTCTTACATTTTACAGTCCCACTGTAATTCTACAATTGTAGAATTTTCTTTTCCTGGCTGACAACAACAGGAACTAGATGTCCCAAAGACTTTAACCTAGCTGCTTCATAAACATTAATACTTTGAAAGTTCCTGTGTCCTTCCTAAGTAGCATTTTGAGCATTAAAGCACCATATTTTCAATGGTCTACTCATATGATTTTTTTGATAAAATACAGAAATGGTTTACAATTGTCTTCTCCCATGCAAAGTAAAATTATATCTTTGCCATCTATAATACAATTATTCATATCTAGCGTCTTTGTGCATAGTTGGTACTCATTGTTGATACTTGCTTGCTTTGGCTTTAGAACATATACCCTGCCACCATAAGGCAGCAGAGAGGACTGGAGCAGGAGCTTACCATTCTAAATCATTAAAAAAAAACTGAACAAAATTAACACTAACTTAGCATGTTGTGCAAATAAAGCTGTTAATGTTAAGCATAGAAGATCAGGAGTCCAAGCAGTTCAAATGAATTTATAGGTTTATTGCAAACCTAAGCTCTCTACAAGAATCTGACCTGCTAATGGTCAAAGCAAATTGGTGGTAGATAAAAGTCTATGGAATTCAAGGTGGGCTGGACTTAGAGCTTGTGGGCACAAGGGACTAGTGATTTATAACATGCTTGATCCTTCCCTCAGGATGATACTGGTCATCTCCTATAGCAGTGGTGGCTAACCTTTTTGGAATCTTCCGCCAAAAATTGTGTGCGCACTTGCATGCTCGCTTCGTGATTCCCCCATGCCCCCTATGGATGCTTACGCAATCCTCACCCCACCCTCACCCCTTATCTGCACTGTATGCCTCACAGCTGATTTTTGGCCAGTTTGAGGCCTTTTTCGGCCTCCCAGAGGCTTGAGGAAAGCTTCTTCAGGCTTTGCAGGCCAAAATCTAACCCTGTTTCAACGCTTCTGGTATTTCCGGAAAAACAGGGAGTGATGAAACAGGCCAAGTTTTCGGCCTGCAAACCCTGCAGAAGCCTTCCTCAAGCCTCTGGGAGGCCGAAAAAGGCCTCAAACCGGCCAAAAATCACCTGTGAGTCACATGCATGCACAGTGAGGTAAGTTTGGCTGCAGTTCACGTGCCGGCACAAATAGCTTTGTGTGCCACCTGTGGCACGGGTGCCATAGGTTCGCCATCACGGTCCTATAGTATACCTAGTCTTTTGTCTAATCTGATTGTGTTGTGTGAACTCAGCTGATCAGAAATAAATTGTTTCAACACACTCAAGTCTTTAGAATTGTCTACATAAATGCTAATTACAATGAAATCATAGCAAAACATAAATTAGAGACAAGTCCAGTTCACAGCTGCACTCTTAACCCCTGCATTGCATTATGAAGACATTTAAAAGATATTCTTTTAATTTGGTCATAATATGATTATATTGTTTGAACATATCTGCATTGGTAAACAGCAGGGTATGTCTCATTCTAACTTTAGGGTCATTAGAAAGGTTGCAAGATTCCTAAAATCAGTAAAATATGAATATGCAACTAATATTTTTACTGTGATTATATTGCACACAAATATACAGCTGCTTGTTTATGATAAACAAATATCACTATATGTACAGCTGTATAGTTGCCATTTAGATTGAGTGCATATTAATTCTTGTTTGGAGTGATTTCATATGAGCATTTTGCAACATTTTAAAACAGCTTTTCCAACGTTAAGTCCTACATACAGTATGTGTTGTTTGAGGGTACAATATCCAGGTTTATGTGCCAGGCAAAAAAACTTTGGATATTTGGGAGTTGTGACTCAAAACATTTGAAAAAAATCAGATTGGGCAAAACTGTTTTAAAACCAGGAAGAATGCAGTGAGATTCATTCTATGGACTACATGAATAATAGCACTAAGAAGTTTTTTTTAAAAAAAACAATTAGCTGGCGGCAAAAATTTGGGGAGGGAGAATAGGACGGACCTACTTAGTAATTCTGCGCTGAGATTGAGATTTAATCCTTTCTTCTCATAACCTTTTTCTAATCACCTTCTTTTATTCTAATCTAAGATGTCATATCCTAGAAGAATGGAAGATGGTGGTAGCAAAAGTACTTAGTAAAATATTTACAATAATCTTTCTTTCAAAAGCAACAAAAATACTGTACATCACACCATGCAAAACTATTTTGTGGGAAGTAGACTTCAATCCGACCAATATTTGTGTGCTGCTGGGAAAGCAAAAAAACATAAAGTATTACATGCTTTTTAAAAGAGTTTGTTATTTCTAGGCGAACCTGATATGCACCCTTTTTTTCTTAATGGGGTTATGAAAACAGGATCTATTCTGATATGATTCTAACTGAAGCATTTTTGAATTGTATATCTTAATACACATTTATTATTACAAGTATGTATTTTAAGTATTATTTTATAGTATTTTAGGCAGGTCCTGGCAGCCACTCTTCAAACTGACTCATGAGCATCCTCATCTTTTAGCTGCTGAGGACTATTTTATATTGGCCAGCAAGTCCCTTCATTTACTAAAGCGGCTTCAAATCAGTGTTTCTATGTCACCTTACTGCTTTTGTTTTGTAGAGAACAAAAATCACAAATGGCCATTAGTGAGAGAAAAGAAAGCTACTTTTGTCATGGGAAAGTTTCATTTCTATCAGAAACCAGGGCAGGATTCCTACAAAATACTTGCCATGTCTTATAGTCCTTCCCAGCTTCTTCTTTTGAGGGTGGGATTAATAACTGCCATCCTGATAAATGTATATGGATTATAAGTGAGAGAAAAATGTATACTTTTTTTCTGCAGTGTAGATGATGGGATGTTGTGGCACAATTAGTCTGCCAGTAGACGTTTTACATTTATGTTGCTTATCATTGTAGATGAGGATCTCAACATGTTTGCTCAGGATGACAGGGAAAATGCTGGAAACATCAAAAATAAAGGTAAGGTTCTACACACTATATTCTTTAGATATAAATAGGTCCTATACAATGCCACTTCCCCCAAAGCAATTGGTTGTCTGGCTTTACCATGATATTGCTGCTAAAATAAGTGTAGAAAGTCTGTCAGCCAGGAATTTTTAAATGGTATATCTATTGAACTATAAAGTGCACAATCAATTGACCTTATTGACGCTAGTGTCAATACATGGTTCAACCATGAATAATAATCCGTATTGATAGATGCTAGGTGTGTCTAAATCTAAGCCTTAGTAGAGTCATCTTCTAGAATACAATATAAATAAGTAAACTCTGATATATAATAAAACATAGGAGTGTCTCTTTCTGGAAGATTTTCAAAACATTATAATGCATTACTGTATGAATCATAATTTTTTTCTCACAGATTCTATGCAAAGCACAATGCATTGTTGCTTCTCTAGCTATGAAATTTTATCAACTAACAGAAAGCACCTACCTGGACTAATTTGATTCTGAAAAGCCAAACAGGCAAGAGTGATTAGTGGTCCTATGCGGTCCTTTGAATTCAAAGATTTTAAGGAATTTCAGAAAAGGTTTGCATTCATACTCTTGTGATCTCCAAAATATTTGAATCAAAACAACCCTACCAATTAATAATTGGATGAGAAACCCCAGGAAACTTCAGGGTTATAGGTTACTTAGGTTACCTGTAGATTGGAAAATTGTAAAAATCCTGGAAGAAGACAATGGCAAAACATTTCTATATTGTTACCAGCATAATTATATAGCTCTCTATCCATGAAGCTATCAGAAGTCAACAAAAAATTCAAGCAGCAAAAGTACTGCCATGGAATTAGCAAACAAGAAAGAGGTCATGAAATGAAGTGAGAGACAAGAAAGTAGACAGGGGCCCACTGGAAAAACCAGAGAGAAAAGAAATTAGAGAAAGGAGAATTGCATGCCAAAAGGAAGGAGGATCAGTGAAGGTCTGTTTACTGGGAACTTGACCTTCTCAATTACTGCTTCTAGACATCTTCAAAGGGAAGCTTGCCCTTCCAGAGTGCACAGGGAGGGAACCTTCCTTCCCAGGCTTGTTCCTTGAGACTTTAGGCTGAAAGCGGAAAGCCTGTTTCCTGGACTATCCCTGTCCACCTGCTGTCTGTCCTCAGTCCCTCTTCCCTACCAGATCACCTGATTCTTTCTCTGCCAGAACCTACACATCCAGTTCAGGAAAAAAACACTTAGGTGGAGCTGCTTTGAGTTTCCTGCAGCTCTGGGTGCTGCATTTGCTCATAGTTCAGGAAACCGCCTCATATGATAAATTGTGGTTAACAGAATAACAGAGTTGGAAGGGGACTTGGATGTCTTCTAGTCCAGCCTCCCTGCCCAAGCAGGAGGTCCTATACCATTCTGGACAAATGGTTGTTCAACCTCCTTTTAAAAACCTCCAGTGATGCAGCACTCACAATTTCTAAAGGCAAGCCATTCCACTGGTTAATTGTTCTTGCTGTCAGGAAATGTCTTCTTAATTCTAGGTTGGTCTTCTCCTTGATTAGTTTACATCCATTGCTTCTTGTTTTGCCTTCTGGTGCATTGGTAAATAAGTGGACACCCTGTTCTTTGTGGCAACTCCTCAAACATTAGAATACTGCTTTCATATCACCCCAGTTTTTCATTTCACCAGACCCAATTCCTGCAACCATTTTCCATATGTTTCAGCCTCCCACACCCTAATCATATTCATTGCTCTTCTCCACACTCTTTTCAGAATCCCAGCATCTTTTTTTATTGTGTGGCAACCAAAACTAGATGCAATATTCCAAGTGCGGCCATACAAAGGCATTGTAAAGCAGTACTAACATTTCACATGATTTTGATTCTATCCTTCTGTAATGCAGCCTAGGATTGCATTGGCTTGTTTTGGTACCTGCAGCACACTGCTGGCTCATATTTAAATGATTGTCCACTAGGACTCCAAGATCCCTCTCATAGTTACTGCTATTGAGCCATGTTCCACCTATTCGACACCTGTACATTTGGTTTCTCTTGTCTAGGTGTAAAATCTTACTTTTCTGACCACTGAATTTCATTTTGTTAGATAAGGCAAGTGTTCACATCTGTCTAAAACTTTTTGGATCTTGAGCCTATCTTCTGGGGTGTTAACTATACCTGCCAGCTTGGTGTTGTTTACAAATCTGATGAATTTCCCCTTCTATTCCTCATCTAAATCATTTAGGAAAATATTGAAGAGTTCTGGGCCTAAGACAGAACCATGGGGTATCCCACTGGTTACTTTCCTCAGTGTAGATGTAATTCCATTAAGGACCATATTGAGTGCAGTTTGTCAGCCATCTATCTATCCTACATTTTTCTAACTTACTAAGAAGTTAGAATCTACATTGTCAAGTGCTTTACTGAAATCCAAGTATACTATGTCCAGAACATTTCACTAATCCACTAACTTAGCCACTTTATCAAAGAATGAAATAATAATTTGTTTGACATAATCTGTTTTTGACAAATTCATGTTAGCTTCTGGTTATAACTTTGTTTGTTTCTAGGTGTTCGCAAATCTATTGCTTGATTATCTTTTCCAGGATCTTCCTAGGTATTATTGTCAGGCTGATTGGTCTGTAATTTCCTGGATTCCCGCCCCCCTCCATCATCAAGTTCATCAAGGCCAATAAAATAGGTGTCCCAACCATAATCTCTCAGTGGGAGAGAATGTTAGCTCTATACCAAGCTATTGAGAGCAACATTTCTATCTGTCAATTTAAAAGGCCACATGGATTGGATCTGTTTATATATTGTGCTGATACCTCACAACACCCTAAGTTCTTAGGAAGAACTGTATGCATAAGACTAACATGAGAACTGGTGGCTGTGGGAGGAGAAGGACCAGAAGGAGAAGGAGGAGATCATTGCACAGACTGACAACAAACAAGGCATGGCAAAGTAGCAACAATGGTTTATTGCAATATCATGATATCAAAAATGGTATCAAGAAATACCATTTTCCTGCAAGCAAGAACTGGTGAGACTATAAAATAGATAAAATGATAGGAAATGAATTGCTATAGTGCTCTGGGAAATAAACAGATTAAGATGTTATGAGACTTTAAAATCCAAACCAGCAGGCACCTTGTACATAACATGCCTAATAGTCTTGAAAAGAAATCTATTAATTGATATTACTATAGTGGGTGAGGCTAAGATTAAGCAATATGAAAAAAACGGGATCTCTAGATCAAAACTAAAAACAATTGCCCAACCTCTAACTGTCTATATCCTTAGATATTATCATAATAATTCTTAGGTTCATTGTGAAATATCCACATTTACCTATCTCAGATCCTTGGAAAGGACTCGATAGATAGACAAAAATGTCAAATCCAGTCTGAAAATCTGGCTGACTGTGACAGACCATAATATATTAAATATATATGCCATCTGACTCCTGGCAATTCTGGGCAGTTCAAAATTTGCTAAAAACATTTTTTAAACAGTAACAACATAAGGCATAAAACAAAGAAACAAAGAAAACAAATCCAGATAGGAACAAGGCAAAGGAAGAAAAGAGGCATTGGTCCTTCCAATATTCTATAAAGCATTATTTTTTCTTAAAATAAACACTACAGTGGTGGGTTAGCTTTTTCCTTCTTCCTAACATTGCTTTAAAAATGACTATAATGGTTTCTAATATGCTTTTATTGTTTTTACTATATACTCATAAATCACAGTAAGTGAAGGGAAGGGCACTATATAAGTAAATTATTATAATCATTTTGTTTTTCTTATTTCTCTCAGACATTCTGATAACTGTGTATAAGATGCCTGAATTAGGAACTGGTATATACACACCTCTATGCCACAATATATGCTCCCAACCATTCTAAATCATTCATCTCAATTTATATAAAGATAAAATTAATGCTCTCTGTTCTTTTATTCATAATTATATTGGGAATGATTGGCATGAGAATATTATCCTTGGGAATGACTCAATTAAGAATGAACCTTCAGAGTGGAGTCAAAATATCTTGGACAGTTTAGCAGTTGTGGCAAGTGTATGATATAGAATAGAAGTGAACTCGTTTTGGAGATATGCTATTTTCTTATTCAGGCTGCACATTTAATTCTGTGTTGTATAATCATCTAGGAAACAAAATTCAACAATGTCTGGATTAATTGTTACTAGTAATAAACTTACTTCTTCCTGTAGGTCAAGTAATATTGCATCTTTACTTGGTTTTCAGTACAGGTAGTCTTCATTTGGTGACCATCATTGGAATTGGCCATTAAGCAAAATGGTTGCTAAATGAAATTATGACTATGCTTATGATCTTACTTCAGCTTTCCTTTGCCCTGCAGATCTACAAAGATCATAAATGAGAGGATTGGTCATAAAGTTACTTTTTCATCATGGTTATTGAATGAGGCAGTCATTAAATGAGACTACCTGAATGAACTCTTTTATCTCACACAAAAGAAGCAGACCTATTTTCTTTCCAACTGTTACTAAGATTTGAGTTCTGTCTGTAGAGTACCATCTCCACAAATCTTTCTTGCATATAATGATAATGTATGCAGTTTTATTCATCTAAACATTTTCTTATCATGATGTTCCTTTCTTCCAATTCAAAATGGGTAATGTCTGCCTTCCCCTTTCTGTCTTCCTCTATGTTGTGGCTCCACTGGACAGTTACAGTGGTGCTTAAAAATTTGTGAACCCTTTGAATTTTGAATATGATCAAAAACATGATCTGTTCTTCACACAAATCCTAAAACTGAACAGAACCCAATTAAGCAGATGAATAAAAAATATTGTACTTGTCCATTTATTTATTGAGGAGATGATCCAATGCTACCTATTTGGGTGTGGTAAAAGTATATAAACCTCTAGGGCAGGGGTGGGCAAACTTTTTGGCTCGGGGGCCGCATTGACTTTTAAAATTTGACAGACGGGCCGGGTCAGCACAAGATTTTTTGGGAATCGCCCACCCCTTCCCCCCCTCTTCTCCTCCTTCCCCTCCCCTCGGAGGCTCCCCTCCCCTCGGAGGCCCTCTGAGTCAGGAGTTGCTACCGCCGGCGCGGCTCCGCGCAGCTCCAATCCTGCATTGCCTCGGGAAGGGAAAGGCAAAAAGGAAGAGCCGCGGCGGTGCTTTGCAACGGGAGCAGCGGCACCGGAGGCTCAGGCTCAGCGGCTCCCGGTTTTGCCTTTTCCTTCCCAAGGCAACGCGGGACTGGAGCCGCACGGAGCTGCGCTGGCGGTAGCAACTCCTGACAGCCCCAACTGGACACCTGAGCGGAGCCCGGGCGAAACTGCCTCTTGCTGCTGCCGGAGCACCACCGGGTCGCCTCCTCCAAGCAGCCTGCCCGCTCTGCCGCGCGGCTCCGGGCCAGGCGCAAGCGCCCACGAGTTAAAAGGAAGCCGAAAGTTGCTGGGAAGTTGCTCGGGTGCTGGGAGCAGGCTTTTAAAGTGTCACCCGAGCAAAGTTTAAGAACACCCGCCCACCCGCCGGGCAGAACCCTTCCTGCTCCTCGGCGGGAAGACGCTCCAGCCTGCAAACTTTGCCTTTGCAAAGTTTAAGCCTGGAAGCCCCGGAAACCCAAGCAACTTCCCAGCAACTTTCGGCTTCCTTTTAACTCGCAGGCGCTC